GTTACTGGGAAGCTACTTTGCTTTTCCAAATAATAAATGTGACATTGCATGGGGGGGAGGGGGGGAAGGAAGCCACTATTGGGTGTATCCAGAGCAGCTCTCCATTCAGACTATCCACTGCTTTCCTAGAAGCTGTCCAATTTTATGCCAATTAAGGCTTTGGAACCAAGTTTTGGACCAATTTAACAATGCAGAGGGAATATTTTTGTGTGCTTGCTTTTGGCTAATTATAGCCCTTAAGCCGTTGCCACTGCTAGGGACTTGATTCAGGAAGCCATTTACAGTCCGTAACAACCACCTTATTGAACTACTGACTTACGGCCAATGTTACATATTATTATGCACCTGTAAATTGTGCTCTTTGTATTACCTCTCTAGCTACATATACACATACACACAGAGTTCTCTCTCTTTCATATGGCACTCCCATAGCAACCAACACAAAGAGCACTTACCAAAGTGAACATCTGGTACTGGAGATCTTTTTTCTCTCTCTCTACAGCCTGTATCTCTTGCTTAGACAGAATTGGAGCGGATATCCTTTGGGTGTAGCAGCGGCACTTCAACTACAAATCAGAAAGGGGAAAAAGGAGTGGTTGATTATTTCTACTTCATCTGAGGCCAGTCCTAAAGTATGAGAGTGTCCGTGGGTGACTGGCTTGGCCCTTTTAGTTTTTCTAAATAATTGCCAAACAGGCTGATAAATTATCCACATTGAGCTTCATCCTGCTGCCAGTGAAGTTTTGCTAATGGTCCTCAAAAGGAGAGCAGAATCGGGACTATTTTCCTACTCATTTAGGCATTCCCTTTGTCACACCTTTGCAGCAGATTTCACACATTCGCTCAGCTGCTGCAAGTAGCATTGCTATAGTGTTCGGGATAGTCGCATTTCTATAGGTAACGTGGTAGTATTTGTGGCAAGCCCTTGGTACACAGGATAATGCAAAGGAAGAAACAAAAAAAAAATGCAAAAAAAGGGTTTACATGTGCATTATTCTGTTTATAGATTGTACTCCTTGGAGAATTCTGCACCACTGCACACACACAGACTTCATGTCCCCCGCAGAATTTTTTTTGTTTCCTCTGCAGAAAATATAACTGCAGCACCTCTCCGGCAGAATGTGTCTTTCAACCACAAGGGGCTGCTTTGGTGCCAGAACATAGGACAGCCACTCCTGGATAGGGAGGAGAAGAGGCTGCATTGCTCACAGCGCCCTGCCTGTGGGGCCAGGTGAAGAGGCATGGGATATGGGGGGGATGCACAGAGCAGGGCACATGGGGCTGCTGGGGAGGAGTGTCAAAGATGGGGGTTCAGAAGGGCTGGTGGTGGGGACAGTCTGGGGCAGGGGCTGAATACGGAGTGGGGGTGCAGGGCCACATGGGGATGGGGCAGATGTGCCTGAAAATGGAAGAGACTAAGGATCATCCAGGGTCTGCATGGGGGAGGTGCCCCAACTACCTAAAAAATCTCCCCCCCAAAAAAATTGTTCCATACTTCTCTCACCCACACCCAACAAGCCTCCACATTCCCTCCCAGGCTGCTTCTCTCTCCCTCAGCAACTCCATTACCCCTGACTCCCCCAAGCCTTTGCACTGCTTCTGAGGGGTGCAGGAAATATATATCTGAATTTCGTTTAAATGAATTACTCAAAGTTCTGTATTAATATGCCTAGGAAGGAATCTATTTGTCAAAAGACATTTCCTGAATCATTTTGTTGTCTGTATTGTTACAGACATACATGCTGACAGGTATTTTGAAATACTACGAAAATAATTGAAACTTATGTGATTATATTGTGTTATTTTGACAAATAAGATATGCAGAATTTTAAAATATTGTGTGTTGAAGTTTCCCCACACCAACTATTTCTGCCAGGCTGGGATTTACCAAGACCTATTGTCAGGCCAGGCTTGCATGCCTTTGGAGGCTAGTTGCTGGGGCCTGACTTCCATGACCTTGCACCTTGTTTAGTTTTTTACAGTGGAATAAAGGGGGTAGGAGTCAAGAGAAGCTCTCTGATTGGAATGGTGAAAGTTCACTCTCCCTTTGCATAGGTGTTAGTGACTGCACAAGAAGTGCAAGGTAGTGAAGAATCAGAATCCTGCGGTTCAGTTCTCAGCCGTGCCACTTTTTCCCCCAATCCTGAGCCAGCTGGGGGTCAAAACACTCCCCTGGTATAATTTAGAGCAGCTGCAAGGCTGCTCTAACTTATGCCCCCTTGCAGCCAATGGCTGCATTAGCCAAGGATCTGGCAGAGCACCAGCCATATGGTCCTGCACCAGGTGTGCTCTATAAAATGAGGTGTAGAATTGGCTATGCGCAATCTGAGGATTTCCTGGTGGCAGAGGTAATCCTCAGCTGCTGCTTTAAGTTAGCTTTTTACCTGCTGTGTGCATACAGCAGGTGACACAGGGACCAAGGATTTTTTATGACTCCCATCTCTAAATCCCAACCCAGAACGACCCTCTCCAGCTCTCCTTATGGAGGGCCTATAGGCAGATGCCCCTTGGTGTAGCAGCTTACACTGCATTCTCCTGAACCACACCACACTGTGGGAGTTTGCCTTCATGTCAGGCAGTCTTACGTACGGAGCTAGAATGAAGAGTTAGAAAGGAGAGAGTCCCAGTAATGAAGTATCCTTCTATTCTACATACACTGTTTTACAGTTGGGATCTGAAAAGCCAGGGCAGAACTGGACCTAAAAACACAGATCATGCTGTCATGCCAAGAACTTTCTTGCAGGTGCCTAAACAGAGCAGCTTCCCTGTATTCAACACCTTACATCTTTTAAACAAATAGTATATTTGGAACAGGGGGAAGACAACTCTGCAGAATATTTAGTTGACATTGTTGAGGGACTTCCCAATTTGCTTAGTATTCATTTTAGTCATTTTTTGTAAATCCTCTGTAAAATTCCACATTTATCACAGTGTGTCCAAATAGAGGATTTCCTTCATTGTGAGTGTTAAACTTCCATATACAAAGAGCACAACATGCTGCTCTGCAAGATGAAAGAAGAAAACAAAGCATCTGAAGTCAAGTCTCCATGAGAGCACAACACCTGTGCACCTGGATTGGTGGCTGTAGGAATTTTCTGTTTTGCAGTATTATTGGCCTCGCTCTTCACACCCCCTTGTAACGCTGTCAGGAAAGACACTCTGTAAAGCTACTGAGATGCACAGGGTTATAGAGTTCCCTTGCATGACTTCTCAACAGCTCACTCCTTCCAGCACATCAGAACCACACTAAAACCTTTAGCACCTTCCAGTGCCCACCAAAGAGGTTAAGGTTTGGTCCCTTCTCACTTTTCCTCCCTCCCAACCTTGACATGTTTGGGATGTTAAATTCTTCTGCTGCTTTTTTCTCGCCCAAGGTGTTAAAAATAGTCTGCTTCCATGATGAAGACTAGACATTTCTTGAATGAATAATCTCTCTTTTTGGCATCAGATATCTGTGAACGGGGACCTAAAGTTGTAAATCCAACTTTATTTATTTATGCACGACATTTAACTGAATATCAACACTCTGAACTGCCTGATTCCCTCAGTCTAATGGATATGTATGGACAGCAAAGCATCCATAGGAACAAGATACTGACAGGTTGTATAAAATCATCAGATTTACTCTGCTGATAAATTATTCACTGTAATTATGAGTCAAACACGTTATTTAAGTGTATTTCTGGAGGGCAAATTAGCACAAATAATTTTCCACTGCATTATGATGTTTGCTAATACATTATGAAAGCCTTATTGTAATAGTGGTCTCAGTTAAGTCAATTTGTCATATTAGCAAACACCATAAAACTTGTACCCCACAAAGCCAATAAGACATTCTGCTGTGCAACATTTCAAATGATTTATACATTGCTACTACATTTTCAAGTATATTTGCAAAGCGGATAGCTGCTAATACAGTGGAAATTTACTGAGTCAAGAAACGCACCCACAGACTCGCTATGTAACCATTGCTGGGCAATTCGCAGAACCCCATTGTTATTACAACAAATTGCAGAGATTTAAGCTATTCTACTCCACCCCAAACCTTGTGTGTTGCACGATGCAGCTGGTTTATTACAGAATAGTAAATATTACTTATGTAGCAATATAGGCACGCCTGGTGCTTTACAAACAAAGTGATTGATCCTCCGCAAGTTGCTTACAAACTATCATTCAGATGCTGCAAACAATTATCCATAGATACTAAGCTCAGAAAAGAACTTTACATCAGTGTTTCCCAAATGGTGAGTCCCGGCCCACCAGTGGGTTGCGGGAAGGGTCTACATAGGTGGGCTGCCTGACATTGCCCTCATGTCACTCTGTGCCCTACATGTGCCCCAGAAGCGCTCACCCCCCAATGAGGGCCCCCCCAGGGCAGACAAAAGAGGCAGTTGGCTCTGGATCCCCCAACCAAGTGGCACAGCAACCTGATTCATGGGAGCTCAGCACTATTCAGGTTTGGCCCAGCTGAACCTCTATCAGGCTGGGCCAAACCTGAGGGGAGGATCAGCTGGACTATACCTGAGTGACACGGTGACCGTGTGCACCAAGTCTCAATGCCCAGAGCAAGGAGCCGGGCCTGGCCTTGACAGACAGGTGCCATTGCTATGCGGGGAGGGCAGGACAGGCTTGCTTTCCAACCACAATCCCTCCATAGGGGCCTCCCAGCCAGCCAGGACTGCAGGATGGGGCAGGGCTGAGGGAGAGAGAGAGAAAGCAATGGGGCTGGGGGTAGCCAAGCAGGAGGCTTGAGAGAAGGGAAGTTTTCTGCTCCTTGATGCAGGGGTGGCCGTCCTTGCTCAGAGGGGCATCTCTGTTGTTGTCAGTTAGCCCCCGCCTCCCCCCAAGACATGAAAGGATCTTTGAGATGCTAATCCTCTCCCAGGACAGAGACTGCCTAGGGATTGGTTTAGTGTTTTCTTTCATGTTGTTGAAGCCTGTCTTTTACTTCCCTTTAAAGGAGTGATGACCAACAACAGGGGTGTAACAACCCCCCTAGTAGAGTTCTCTATCCATAAGAAGCAGTGGGGCTGGGAGAGCAAGGGGGTTAGGGGGATGGGAAGCCAAGCACAGGGGGGCTGAAGAAGGATACTGGCAGTGCAGAAAGGACAAAGTTTGGGGGGGGGGGTTCTTCCAGGTTTGAATTTTTTTAAACAAATTACAATAGTAAACAACGGACAAAATAGTGGGTCCCCCCAAAAAGACATGGATGCCATAGGCCTTATTGAAAGGCTTGGGAACAACTGCATTAGGTCATCTATTCTGACCTCCTGCATGTCACAGACTAGACGGATGCCATTTGCTACTGTCTTGAGCCCAACAATGCATATCTTTAACCTTATCAGTGTAACAGTTCCAATGAATATCTATAGGTGTGACAAGAGACAAAGAGATGGGGAAGGGGGAAATGGCAGCAGAGGTAGCTGGAAAATGATTTTTTTTGTTTTGTCCCATGAAAAAGAAAGTTCATCCCAAACCAGGGGAAGGAAAAACAGCAACAAAAAACCACCACCAAAATCAAAAATTCTGAAAAATGTTATTGTCAATCAAAACATTTCATTTCAAC